GAAGTATGAAACGACGATATCGATCGTGAATGTCGGTTATCGGTTAATTAAACGTACAAAGTATTCGATTGCTCAAAAAATCTTGATGATAGAGTAAAAGAGCCTTAAAAACATCTATTTCCTTCTTTTTTCCTCCTATAAATCGATGATCGGTCGCAGAGAGAAAAGGGTAGTAGCGATATTCCGATAGGTTATCAAAGATTATTAATTAATTGAGGAACAGCAGCAGCCGATAATGGGGCAAGGTGTTCTTCGTTCGAGTTCCAACACTCTGAAATTAACGATTCGGTCCATTGTAATTCATGAACCGCCTTCCGCGTACACCAATTGTAAAGTAAGAAGTTCCGATATTTAGGGGTGGATCGTGATTGAAATAATCGCTGTGATCCGGTGTCTCCGAGTTGGCTATGCGCCACGGAATATCGAGGAAGTTTCGAATGCTCGGTATTTGAGAAGATTTTTGGAATAACACGCCGAAGAAAGTTTCGAGGAAGTTGGAATATTCGATAACCGAACGAGATTTCCAACAGCTTATGTACCGTAAGACGAATGGCAATGGAGACGAGTTAAATTGTTCGGCGAATATCGTCGAATACAATGCTAATTTGGTATTTATTCGCGTATTTAGATCAACTTCCTTTAGATCGCGATTATACCGATTTGAAAACGCTAAATACATTGATAAACATTGAATGTAAATATCCTATGCTTTGACTCTTTATACTTCGAAATATCGTTAATCGTCTTCGTAAAATTACAAATTTATCTAAACATCCGCAGTGTATACTTCTTTTTTCCATCTTCCAGTTTCCATCTTCTTCGAGGTACCATCTTCAAGTTTGACTATTTTATTTCTTTAGTGAGGTCAGTGGGGTGTTCTTTTTAGTCTTCTTTCTATAAGAGTTTTGCTCGCTTCAACAGCCAACTGGTTTGGATGTGTTGCCCTTCTTTCCTTGTATTTTTCTGCGTACCTGCCGATTTCTTCTTTGACCGTTGGTATTTTTAAGTCTCTGCGTATATCCTCGTTTCTGACATATCATAGGGCGTTGACTATTGTTCTCAGTACCTTCGATCGTAGCGACTGTAGTTTATTTACGTGGCTCGTTGCTGCTGTCCCCTATAGCGGTATTCCGTACGTCCAAATTGGTTTTATTATCGTTTTGTAGATTTTTAGTTTATTTTCTATGCCGAGTTTAGAGTTGCGACTAGTTAGCCAGTACATCTGTCTTCTTTTTATCCGTATTTTGTCCGTAACTGATTTAGTATATTGTTTCCATGTAAGTTGTGTGTCTAAATGGAGGTCCTAGGTATTTAACTTGCCTTGTTTGTGTTATGTGCGTGCCATTCAATTGGACATTTCGTGATTTCTGTTTTCTTAGTGTAAATGTAATATGGTTGCATTTACCGGGTTTGCTTTTATTTGTTTATCTTGTAGCAATTTTTCTATTTTTGTGCTCTTGTAGTAACGTGACTGCTGTTTCTGGATTAGTATGCCTCACTAGTACAGCGGTGTCGTCCGCGAATGTCAGTATTTTGTTGTTGGTACGTCGGCCGTGTGCAGTGTGTATAATATTGGTCCTAAGACGCTTCCTTGCGGTACTCCTGCCTTGATGTCTTTTACTTCACAATATACATCCTTTATTTTAGTGTATACGTGCAACTATAAAATAAAACACCAGTTATATGAAATCGTAGATCTACTTTGAAGATTCTCTCGGATTTCGCTCTAACGAACATCGTGAAGCTTTCGTCATGAATCAGATACAGACGGAATCGCAAGTTATAGGAAAACGCAATTGTCTCCTGCAAGTATCGTCTGCCCGAAAATTATAGCGATAGTTGCGCAGCATTAGACAGAGAGCGAGCGGGATACAAAATTGTAAAAGGCAAATATTTGCGTTCGACGAGGCGGAGGATATTTACATTGGACACGTATTGCATCGTATTTCCCTTCGGCATAGCACCGGGATTAATCCGAATACGCTTCTCTCTGCAACATTTTCGCGTGAAGTACTCGATGCTTTAAAGGACGTTTGTTTGGATATTCCTCCGGCTTACGATCTTTACGAGGCGACCTCGTGAAGCCACACTAAAACGTAGCGTAACGATGCCGGACTGAAGCGAGCGAGGTTTTTTCAGCTGAATCTTCTTTTCTTCGTCCTATTTCCCTTTATCTCTTTTCCCTTTCTTCGTTTAATTCTTTATCGAGAATTCGTTCGTATTCCTCTCCCCCCGCGAAGAGAATTTTCAATCGGATAAATTTAGTATAAAAGATAGGAAAGAAAATGACGAACTAATAAACCGAAGGGAAACTACGGAGGAAGAAGAGCTGCTTGAAAATTCAGTATCGTGTTACCGAAATTGTCTTTTCATTTCTTTCTTTACTTGAGCCATTTCTTCGTCCTTTTCAAAATTTTCGAAATATTGCAGACACATCGCTTGACTTGATAATTGCGTTAAATGTTCAGAATTTTCCAGCGAGAAACGTTTGATAATATTCGCTCGATCGTTGTTATCGCGTTAGTTCGATGTTAGACACACTTTTCTATGTCGTATTTGTTGTTTCGCGTAATCAAAAACATATCTGTAATTTTTAATATTTTACAGTAAGTCGATACAAATTTGCTCTATCGTATTGAATCTGGGAGTTGTTTAAATGTTACATGGTTTACGATGTCTCGTATTGGATTATTGAAACGGATATAGAAACGTGAGGAACGGATACGAATATAGGTCGAACGAGTAAGTTCCAATTGCAATTAATTGTAACCTAAATAATGGGGACAATGGATATCTGCAAATTAAAATCGATACGTGTATTTGCGAATGGAGAACAGATAATTGTAGGCACGAAATTTGTTTTCGTATAGCAAAGCAATAACTGTATTGTACTGTAAATAAAAATAACTAAAATATTTTCTCGCTATGCATATATACAGGGTGTGCCAGGGTTTAACAGCCAAGTTTCGTCGGTATATGTCAGGCTTTTCCAGCTCCCATCATCGTTCTACTAAAATAACAAATGATTTAAAAATGGTCTTCAAGATTTTTTCTTCTTTTTCTATTGTTAGATTCAGAAACAGTCCATCGATGATTTAACCGAACTTATGTAAAGAGGTCGTTTGGCCAGATCCTCTCAGCCTCGAATGTTCTTACGGCGCGCTGATTTGATAGGTCGCTGACGAGATTATTTTGGCGGTTCAAGTTGCGATCTCTATATCTCGTCGAATGATAGTCGATCACGTCCTTGACCAGACGTACTCGTAGATCGTTGCGTAGAGTCCGATCGAAGACATACCAGAGCCAGATCACCCAGCATATTTTGCGACCAAATAATATCTGTACTTACCGTTAGACTTACATCGCTGTGGTCCAAGCTTAAATCGTAATTTGCCTCAATTTGTGCGTGGATGTGGGATACGTCTCCGGTGAAGGAAAACTAAGAAGTCGGAAAGTTTATTCGGGTCAATTGACCAGTAAGTTAGCTGACCTGTAGATATAAAATCTAAGTTTCTAGATTGAATTGCTTGTAGCAGACTGCGTTCTTCCGATGCGATGATCCTAGATCCCTAGACATCGCATTTCTCGAATAGTCCTCGGCTACGACGAATGCTGATCCAATTTTCAATCAAATATCAAAGTATTCTACACATTCTTCAGCGACGATAGTATGTCGCGGTGGAGACTAGACGAAGGCTATTGTCAAGGCCTGTGTTAATGTTTGAATTTTTACCAATTTTTATTTTGGAGAGATTCCATGTCTCCTCCTTTTTTTCTTTTCAACACATTGCCGATGGTTTGTATTTACACGAGGCTCTTGGCTATTTGGCATTATTACATCGTCTGGAGTTTCTCTGGTATATCTTGTATCGAGGCGTTCGTTTGTGTAAGTACGAGTTATAGGCAATGAGGGATATGGGTTGGAGAGTGACGGAAATATAGATTGTTATGTCTCTACTGGGGAAGCATTATGGTTGCTCGTCATCAGATCCCGTTCGGATGAATTCCGATGTCGGAACATCAGGAGCGATTGCCGAGCTATCATTACTCAATGATCTTGTGGATTTCTCGAGTGTATCGATGAATCGTCTAACATCTGATGCGCAAGTTCACTCGGCTGTTGGTTTACCGTTTCGTGTAAATCACGTTAACCGAGCCGATTTCCTGCCGGTAACATTTTTATTTTACTGCCACGTAGCCATATCCGACAGAAGGATAACGCTTATTACGCGTTATTAAGTCTGTTTACGATATCTCAACGATCGTCGTACGTATGAACGAACAATGATAACACGCGCGCACTGTCGACGTCAACGATCATCTCGAGAATCTACGAACAGTCTTCGAGATGCATGTAAAATATATATCATTTTTCACAAGATAAATACCAAGGGGAATCAGTTTTTAAATCTAATATTCGTTAAAGCGAAACAAACTATTTCATGGAAAATATTCGCCCCGTAAAAGGCGCGATAAATTGACGTTCTATTCGCTGCAGGTAGATGACGGCTTTACCTATGTACGTGGCAGCCGGTCACAATTCGTCGCCGCTGTCGTTTCGTTCTCCCCTCTGAATATCTTTTATTATCGCGTAAATCTCTTTGAGATATCGTGAATCGTGAATAACGACTTTATCGTGTTGATGTAATAACTTCGATATATCCGGTGGCCCTTTTCGCCTGGACTTTAACGCGTCCCTTCTTCAGAGCAGCATTACTACCGTGACGCTTGAGACGATCGCGAAGAAGACGCTTCGTTTCCTATCTTCAATGTAATTTATCGCGACATCCTTACGATCCATTTTATCTTTCATTTTCCGCGAAATATCGAGAATGGAAATGAAAATTGTCGTCGCGTAAACAGTAGGCTTTAACCAGACGTAGCTCGAAGATACAAGCGGAAACATTTGAAAACACACGATTCGCCTTGTTTATCGATTTCTCGGTACTGCTGAGAGATCGTCAAGTTCGTTAACAAAATGTGTCGATCAATGTTTGCAGGCCTTTTTCATCGAGTCGTGTTATCGAGTGGCTCAGCGTTAAGCCCATGGGCGTCTGTTCACGATCCGAACGACTTACGATCGAAAGTAGCAAAGCAAATAGGATGTTCCACCGAGGACGACGAAGATATTGCCAACTGTCTACGCGGCATTCCTCTGCGTGAGCTCATGGCCGTCGAACTGCCGGAAATCCGGTAAGATAGTAACTCTTTACGATCTGGATTCGAGGCTGATGCAAGATCCGTGAATAGCTGCCCGTAAATTCCATGTAAAAATTCCTCGTGCGTTACCTGCGCGAAATAAAAAGCTCCGAGTCGCCGATATTATTGTTCTCCGCACGAAAGAATCCAATAAAGTTCCCGTGATCTTGAACGAAACGTATCTTTTAAAATCTGACTGTACTTTATCTGTATTTTATTACGTTTACCGGCATAAAAAGATCGCAGCCCGTCCATAACGCGAATCAAGTTATCGATCATCTACGATTTACAATATCAAATGTCAACTTAAAAGAGATGTTATACATCTATACGTGTAAAGTACTTGATTAAAAAAAAAAGTTAATGACAGAAAAAATAATAAACGTATATTTGTATAGTGATTCGTATAGTTGAAATAATCAAATCTTGAACAATCATGCGCAATTTATTTCATTATCCATTTATAGAAAACTTAATGAGAGCAACGAACTTTAGCTTGAAAAATTAATTATACGATCATGTACGATCATTCTTAACGCAAACATACGTTAAAACATCCTGAAAAGTCTACTACGAAATTGTACGATTAAGCCAATGTGCAATTACACCAACGCGACTATGAAAACTACGCGCAAGCTCTCATCGTAGTATCTCGTAATTATAACCCTAAAATCCCATGCTATATCGAACCCTATAGCGCCCAAGCCAAAATCATAGTACCGTTTATTCCAGATCAAAGCATAAGTGTAGTCGCTAATCGGCTAGCGCAAGTTTTCGCGAGTCGGATCACGCTATTGTTGGCACCCGATTTACTTGGTCGCCTTATCGATCGACACGGGGAACACCGTACCGATTCGGTATCCTGACGAGCAATGAATCGCGCTAACTCGTCTCGTCTTCCGTTTCAGATTCGTGCCACGGATCGGACCAGGCTTGCCAGTGGACCAAAACAATCCCGATCCAGGGCTGGATATGGAACGAGCCAGCGACACGTTCATCAAAGTACCTCTTATCCTTGGTGTGTCTACTACGGAGTCGAATTTAGATTTTAACGCGAACGATATTCAGTACGGATTCGAGGAGGATCATCGAAATCGAATTTTACGAACGTTCATTAGGAACGCTTATGTATATCATTTGAACGAGATTTTCTCCGCGGTGAGGAACGAGTATACGGACTGGGACAAGCCTATCCTTCATCCTATCATTATAAGGGATTCGACGATGGAGGCGTTGAGCGATGGTCATACCGTGGCTCCACTCATGAGGATTGCCTTTTATCACGCCAGAAGGGGAGCCAAAACGTTCTTCTACCACTTCAGCCATCAAACCAAAGACAACAGCCTTTTGCAGGTTTGTGGAAAAGATTGCACGTTTTACAGGGAATCGAGCGTGGGTTTTATGTATCCGATGACGAAGAAAACGATCGGTGCGTTGAATTAGAATTTTTAACGGTGGGATTATTCTTGAAATTTATTTGGGTGATTTTCTTATACGGTAAAGTCAGTTTTGAAACTTGTTTGTATTTTTCAAGTTTGCTGCTAAATTAGTTTTAGTTGTGTGTAGATAAACTTACAAAATGTACAGTTCCAACGTAATTTTATTATTCTTGATTTCCGTCGGAACTTCCATTTACTTTACTCGTACCAGGAATTTTGGAACACAGTGTATACACGTAGGAAATAATTTATAGTCTTTTATACAAATCACTCGCGACCTACGGTACTCGATCCCTTTTCCATTCGTAAATACAAGAACGCGACAGATGTTGGAAGTAATTTAAAAGGAACCGGGTCTTTTAACGATTGAAACGCCCGCATGAAGTGTCGACAGTAAACCGTGGCTCTTTGAACCACTTCAGTCGTAAACTTATTTCTCGACGAAAGCTGTTTCTTTTTTTTTCTTTTTTTTCTTTCTTCCTTTGGTCGTCGTCGTCGACGCCATTTTATTCGCAACTTCTTTGATTCTTCGCGAAATTTTTTAAGTACACACACTACCAATGCCCTTCCTCTCGTTCTCGCCAAACACAGCGAAATATTAAAGATAGTATGGTAATTTTTCATACAGCTCTTGACTCGACTAAAAGTGGAAAGTGGAACGCGCGAGCCAGAGAACCGGCTTAACTTCGAGTTAATTTTACATAAAATTATACATGTAGGATGAACGAGACCCTCGAGTGTCTTCGTTATTTTTGTTAAAGAAGCATACAGAAGTTGATCACAATTACATTGTGGTAAGAGATGGAAAAAAGCTAAATGGAAGAATTTCTACTGCGAGAGCTACCTTGCATGGTTGCACCGATGTTATTAACAAAATTGTATGTTATGCTGGTTAATTCATATCGAGGGTTAATAAATTATAGAGCTTCTCTACCGCTTCAACCTCTGTGTTACTCGTCTGGCCAATGAAACGTATATTCTACTTGCTCGCTTATACGTCGACCGTCGCTACTGGTAAGGAGAATACGTCAGTATGAGGTCAGACTAGTTGTACGCGTAAATTAATACATAACTAGTTAAATAGTACAGATTAATACGTAATTCTACAAGTGGAATATCGATAGAAATAGAAAGATAATTTCAATTAACTGTACTATCCATTGACTTTTAAGAAACAACGAGATTTTCCAGTTGACGAATCATTACCGTTTGAAAACTCATACATCACATGGCTCAATTAACCAACTACCCGATAGATTAATAGACTTAATAACGCAAACTTCCAAGAGTCTAACGTCGAGGCAAAGTTCCAACATAGAGTCACGCTTAATTTACATCGTCGTAGTCTTCTGGGGTAACGCAAACGTCCTTCCACTGCTCCCATGAGACGTTTGATTAGGTCACAGTAGCTTCATCGTGAAATCATGGGCAGCGGTTAGTCGGAAGACAAGCACGAGCATAAAGCTGCGAGAAGTCCAAGATCGGAATGGATTCCAGGAAAACGGAAGATTAAAGAGGCAATCCGAACGAGCTGTGAGCTCGAATGCTGTTCTCGGTCTTTCGCTCTGTCTGTTTCTTACTTTAAAATGGAAGGAAATATTTTCGGTGTTTGTACAGGTCGAACGGTAATACATCGCTCCTTTTCGTGTCTTTTATCCATTTTGAATTATCGCGCTTTCAAAATGTAATTTTGTTGCTTATGTAAATGTAAAATTGTTGTCCTACGCGTTTGATTGGCAAATTTGATTTAAAGCAATTTGTCGTCGTTCTTCGAAATTTATGCGCGTCAGCAATCTGATGATTTTAACTAGTTCATTGTGTAATCGCGATGCGCTCATAAGACTGGTAGTTGTCCATACGTCAAGAGGGAGAGAGGCAGGAACTTCAATTTAACGAGTTTCGTTCTCGGGTCACGGTTAATAGCGATTTAGTGCGTTTAGCTGCCACGCTATGGCCAACTGTGGACGTACAAAGCGAAATTTTAATTAAACGGAAGTCGAGTCGCGTGCACGCCCGTGAAAGGCCATCTCGCTTAATAAGTTTCAGTGTCGTGACTGAAACTCGAAACGCGAGCCTAATCAATGCGTCGTCCGTGCATTTAGAAACGTTAGGAAAAAATATCGTTGGCTAATTCGAATAGAAATTCAGCATAGAAGAGGCAAAAGAGAGGAAACTGTAAATTTCTAGTAAAAAGTCGAAATGTAACGAATTCAAATCTGACAACTGGACAATTTGCAAACTGACAAAATGAAAATCGAATATCGTGTAATTGTAAATATGATTTATAAAAATGATATAATGAAATATTAAGTATAATTTAATATGTTTGACGTGATAGGAAAACTTTTGGGCCAAAATGGAATTCTTTTCATCGAAGAAGTCGCATACTTTTCTCAATAAACTGTATGGACTGCATTTCTTGTTATAATTTTTGTTATTGTCTGTTATTTAGTAAACTGCAGTACAATCCGTTCTATGAAATTCATTAAATGACCGAACAGTTAAATTTCTACGATTGTAATAATACATAGTAGCAGTTACCAATCTTATCTATTTATCTGACCATATACTGTGTATACTCTGGCTGACTATACACTGACCTGCACCACTTGTTAACTGAGATTAAGCCAACCCCTTAACCTCTTGGCATATTATATCAATAAAATTAGTACATGATAAATAATAATAAAGTAATAATAATAATAATAATAATAAATACACTAAATATTTGACAAGGAACAAATGTTTCTCTGTATGTTGGTACTCTGAAAGTATCATCAATAATAACGTTGATTCGCACACGCGTTCTCAGGTCACTTCTTTGCAAATAAAACCCCTAAAAAAATCTAAAAACGGGAATTAAGATAACAACGCACGCTGGAACTACCACGTCGAAGAACAAGCCGAAAGTCATTGACCCGAGCGTTACTTTAAACTCGAAAATTAAGCTTCTTTGCCGGTAAATTGAGTATCTTGAAGAAGCCACGCTTAGGTAAACCACATTAACGAAATTCACTTGGGACTCATTCAACAAGCTACAACGTATTTAACGGAACAAAGCTAAACGGTTCATCCGTTAAACGATCCGACTGTATGGGTGCCAGGAGACGAGACGGTAGATTCTCCAGCAATATGCTAATTCGCTGTTCGTTTCTTCGGCGTGTCTTCGAAATGTATGCACATGCATATACCGATCTGCAGCCCATCCACGAGCTTCTAGTAGATCCAGGCGACATTTAAGTCGGCAGGCAGCTGTAAATCCCATTTGCTTGCGCTCTGAATTAACAGGATTTGCATCGCGACCCAGACATTCTGTCGAACGCACAGATAGAATTGGCTGTGTCTCCGCGTGATTCACGCTGCTTTCCAATTAAAATTATTGAATCGGATTAAAATAATTAATCGTCGAACAGCTGGGCCGACAGGAATTTTTGTTTCGTTGTCATCGAGTCGTCCTCGAAAGGAAAACGTGATAATGAACGACGCGGTCGTTAATCTGCGTAATTTTTGAGCGGAAATTTTCTTTCGAACAAACTTTATATATTATATATTAAATGAAAGAACCGCTGTTTCTAAGAATTATCTGGATAGCGTGGTAATTATTCAAGGGGTAAGATAGTTTGAAAAGATAGTATGAGACGTTCGTTCGAATCTTTAAGCGTTTAGATCTTGAAATTTCTAAATCTCTCAGTCTTCGGGTTTGCGCGTATTTGATTCTCTTATCGTAGAATTTCCACGTTTATTTCTTTCTCCTAATTGATTGTGAGTAATATTAATAAAAATCATAGTGGGCGAAAGTGGGCAAAAAAGAATTCCCTCGTCAAAAAAAAGAGTTCTCTCGTCGATAATGGTTATCCGTAGCTGAAAATAATTTCCGGCGTCGATATCGAATACCGTTTTGAGCAGCATTTGCCGCAGGTTTCGAACGTTACACGTACATGCCACCAACGAACGAAATAATTTTGTTTCAGCGTCTGGGCAGCATTCGTGGCGAGGATATACCGTATATCTTCGGGTTGCCACTGGTGGCTGGAGGAGCTTTCTTTCCCCGGAATTATTCCCGACAGGATCAGGGCGTCGCCGAGGCAGTTCTCACGTTTTTCACGAATTTCGCGAAAACCGGCAATCCGAACGAGCCACACAAAATCGAATCGGTGGATTATGGGACACCGAAGGAGAAAACGCGATACCGTGGTCTCACATGGGAACAATACGAAACGGGTACTCAACAGTATCTCACAATTGGTGAGTTTATTCCTGCTACGTATCTTTTCTTTTCCTCCTATCCGCTTCTTTTTTCATTTATTTAAATACTTGCGCCGTGTATATACTATATGTCGTATGTAATTAGAGAATAATATCGGTGACTAATCGTTTCAGCGATGAAACCGAAAATGAAGAGCCACTACCGTGGCCATAAAATGGCGGTTTGGCTAAATCTGATACCACAACTGCATCGACCCGGAGACGACGATGTCTCAATGCGGCATCATCATTTTCGAGAAAGAGGTGACCACTTTTATGCAGGTAAGAAACTAAAAACTTCTTCTTCAAATAATTTAAATTAAAAAAAAAATACATTTTGTTTTCGATTCGCGCGAAATATATACTATCTACCAACTAAGTTAATATTATTAACTAGCACTTTGTATAAAAAGATTAGGAACGAAAAACTTCAATTATACTGGCACGAATACCTGTATCTATCTTACGCTTGCCATATTACATTTTGTACTGAAATTATATCTATGTATTATAAAAAAAATTCAGTTATGTAATCATTACAATTAAAAGAAACCTGTCCCTATCATACACGATGTAAGTAACGTTTAATTCACCCAATGAATAGAGTAATTAGAATGCAAGTGTTGAATCTTTCAGGACCAGTTCGAGACGAGTGGTACACTCCTCTGCCGCTTGTAGCGACAACCAAGATGAGCGCCTCGTCGACAACAGCGTGCAGCACATCTACAGGTGACGACAGTATTACCGAAGACATTACTCCTATTCTGGACGATTCGGAAGACGACGCTGAACTTTTACAAAGATTAGCTTCTCGTCATTACTACAGTACTACTACAGCCCTAGCAATCACCGTAGGAATCGGTTGCATGTTATTGGTGCTCAATATGCTGATATTCGCCGGCATTTACTATCAGAGGGATCGTGACAAAAAGAGAGCCACAATGGACTGCACGCCAAACGGGCAAGAATCACTACCGATGACTACCAGGTCGTCTATGAAAGCTCCAGAAAGTCCTAGGCCAGCGCAAGAACCTCCACCATCGTATACTACCCTTGCAAGAAGCCCTTCGATCCAGGAACATCAACAAATTGCTCAGAGTCAATCGACAGATGTCGATGAACAGCCTAAAAGTGAACAGAAACTTAGCCACGGGACCAGCAACGCCATCCACAAGGATCCCATTCCTCCGAAACCTCCCACGAGAACGACCAGCTCCTTGAGTACTACTAGTGGCACCAATACTATTAAAAAACGTGTGCAAATACAAGAGATATCCGTATAGCATTAGGGGTTGCCCCAAGAGGGCAACATGAAAACCAAGAAGGTGACTTTCATAGATTTTGCGGCGACTGGCGAGTCTAAGTTTTGAAAAAGTTTACAGGGATATGGATTAACAAGTGTCTGGTTATGACACGTAGCACAGGTTGACAAAGAAAATTATCTGTTTGAGTTGCAGTGAGATATCGATGAAGAGTGAAGACTATTGGTGTTACTTTCGACAATTGTTGGAGGAAACTCTAAAGAACAATGAGTTCTAAAGCGACATTCAATTGTATGTTAAGTACTCTCTAATTATTCCGATGTATAAACAGCGATAACTGCCATATGTCACTGAAAAGACAAAGTGCTTTAAAGGAAGACTTAGCAGACTACGAGTGTTCCTCTATCATGCACGTAAGACTTTATGAACATTTTGAGTGTATTTCTTTGCAGGATACGGTGTGTTTCTTCTATGGAATGCTATCAAAGTTGTATTACAAAGCGATTCGAAATGAGTTCATCAAATTTCAACTAATTAATTTCTCGTCAAGAAATACTTAACTTGACTACAAGAACAGTATTGTTAACTAAGAATGAAACATTTACGAAATCAAGTGTCTAGGAAGCTGGTTTCGATTTTCTGCAAATATACTGTCGAATAATTAAAATCTAACAGATATATCTTTTCTTTTTATTTGTTCTTTATTTTACACTTAAAAAGCAAAGTAAATTCTAAACTATGATATTTATCTCGTATATTGAAATAGACGAAAGTTGGAAAAAGGTCGTATCTCTAAAATTGTTTAATCTGACAGTATATTTGACGAAGAATGGAATCGATGATAAAAATCCATAAGTCAACACTGTAACTGTCACAATCAGTGTTCTTTCAAGTGTTCTTCTCGTAGCTGACATAATGATCATGTAATTAGAGTAACTCGTGGTATAACTGACGCTGGGCTCATGAAAAATTTCTATTTGCGTTTGTCTATACAACTTAAAAGTGGTTTCGTGTCTTTCCTACTCCAGGTATTGGAAACCGTGCACAAAATCGCACAGAGATAATAAATTAAATAACGTCTGTGTAACACGATCCGTAGAAAATTGTATGAGAGAATGTTCGTCTGAAATGATTTCTAAAATTTAAATGATGATAATTGTACTTCGTAGTGTCACTGTGATCAATATCAATATTTTTTAAAAATCAAAAACAAAATTTATAGATAAAAATCATTATGTTAGTTTCATTTGTCGTTGAAAATTATTCGTCTTTGTTTATTAAAGGACAGGAATTATTATTTATTTCTGTTTTTTATTTGTACTATGAATATACATATTCTACTTTATTATGTAGCATATAAATAGTATAAAGCGCAAGTTGAAGAACTCTGTCAATTTTGCGTTGCCTCCTCGTTATCTTGATATCATCCCTCGTTATTTAAAATAATTTAAGGAGAAAAAGAGAAACAAAACCTAAAAAAATGTATATTTAAGCACTCGATACTGAAAGAGATCAGTTCTCGTATTCGCATTAGAATCTCATGCGAATGTTGTGTGAAAGTTCTGGGTTAAAGTAAACAAAAGGAAATTACATGTTTAATGGTTCAATTTGAGTGGAACTCGCACTGCACTTGCGGAATTATCGATGGTTCTCTAGTGACAACATGTGCTCAAAACGTAATCATAAAGTGGAACACAATTTCCTTTAAATTAAATATTATCTACACCTCTTCGACCAAGTAATCTAAGGCGAGATTACGCCCACGTTTATGCAAATATCATTCGTCTTTATAGGATTTTTTAAGCTGAATCTGATGTCTGTGTTATACATACATTAAGAATTAACGAAGAAATTGGACTTATAAAGCTCGGTGTAAATTATAATGTTATAAAGGGATTTATCTTTTTTTCAGATACTTTGTCTCTATACTATTTGCATAATTTTAATTACTGTACGTTATATTACGCATGTTTTAACATTATTTCTTAACTAAATTAAAAGCAAAGCTTACTTCATCATAATTTTCGTACAAACAGATACTCATGGTCATGATTCTTCCATTAGTTGATAAAATTAAATGTTGTACTGTACTAGTATATATGTACATACATTTCATTTTAAAGATACTATTAATTTTTTATAAATTTGTTCCCTGACATACTTCGTAATCCAGACTGATTATCAAAAACATATTACATAATACAATCATTCTACTAAGAGACAAGTTTTTCTCCGGAAGAAGAAAAGCATCACGAATAACAGCAAACGACATTTCAATCGTCATGTAAAAAGATAAAAACACCTGTTTAATATAGTCGAATTTATCTAATCGATTGTACGCATTTTCTGAGGCACATGAAGTAATGAAAGCGTATTGGTATGATTAAGGACATAACGTTGTACTTTAGATAGCAATCATACTATGCACGGTGTCGCGTAATTGTACTGTCGATTTCGATTATTTTCAATACACCGTTTCACAAAGAAAAGATTAGAAAAGGAATACTCATCAAGTATTGTTTGCGAATGGTATGAATCATCAGCACATTATGACTATTCGTTAAGCTGTGTGAACGGGATTATTGAACAAATAACAGTGAAATTTAAGTAGCAGAATAGACGAAACATCTTTGTAAATTTCACTGTAAAACAATAAAATGCTGATTTCTAAATACATTTCCATCTCCAAATATAATTACTCATATCCTTATAAGCTAACAGTGTATTAAGTTACACGTGGGACTATGAAATAATGTACAATTTACAAATATAAACGGTGTTGTACTTTTATCTTTTTAAATAATACACACTGCTCGAAGCATAACAAAAGAATATGCGCTTAAAATAGTTTTGTCTGCCTTGAATATATAGTAGTGTAACATCTATCTTTTCTTATTTTATACAATAATATAATAAAACTATGATTAATATACATGTTTAGTTGAATAATTATACAAGTTTTGGTTTCTCCAAGATAAATAATATTTCTGAATTATTCAACTGAATTATTCCCTCTTTTAGCAGGCACCACATCACTGTTCTCACTCATATGTCTTTTACTTGCTACTCGTGTGTTACGGCCTGCAACATAATTTTCACAAATTTTACATATGCTTCATTTTGATGACATGTAAATTTTGTAATCATGAAATGTTCAGTGACATTTGTAAGTTTAACTCATTGAAATCCAAAAAACTGATCTCTCAGTATTAGCATGGCAAAGCATCATTACGGAGCAAGAATAGTACTATTTAAAAAAAAGCTATTTATATACACCATTCTACTGACCTTTTTTGCCTCTCTTTCCTTTAAAATTCCTTTGCCTAGAATTTGCCATTTGTTGTCTCACTTTCATAAAATATTTTTCTTCTTCTTCACTCTCAAGGACACAACAGGTTACATCTTTACCACGTATAGATATCTTATAAAATAAATGAAAAAAATTTTCACGAAATAAAATATAATATTACGAACTTAAAAATAACAAAAAATAATTTGAAATACTCACTTTACTTTCATGCATTTTGTCAATTACTGTTTTTGCGTCATTTTCTCCCTGCAATCGAGCATATCCCGCTGCATCACCTTTATTAAAGTCAACAAATGCAACATTCGCACCTAATTCACCTAGACATTCTTTAATATCTTCTCTTATACATTCATCAGGTACATTAGTAAAATAAATCACACAACCCTTTGGAAATAGATTTACCTTGTCACCTTCTTTCTCTTTATCATTATATTCTGTTGTCTCCTAAAAAATTGAACATTTTGTTATTATGTTTAATTATGAAAATAAATGTATAAAATAAATTGTATACTAACAAATTCCATATCAACAGATTCACTTTTCTTTGCTTTCATTTCTGATCTTTTTTGTCTCCTACCTTCCCTTTCCTGTGTTTTAGATTGAGTATAGTCAGATCTAAAATCTCAAAGTATTAAATTAAGTATAAAATATTACTAAAACTTTTATAGCAGAGATATATAATCCGATTAACTTACGACCACATCTTAATTAATTCAGTGTCTCCATATTTTACAGATTCCCTAACCATAAAGGCTTTTGCATCCTCTAGAGTTTTGAACTGCACGAAAATGGAACCTTTAAATTGAAGCTTCTTCTCTTTATCCATATACTTCCTCATCTATTAAACAAGAAAATGGTCTGAAGATCTAAGCATTATTTGCAAATTTTTTCCACTCTGATCTGAAAATAATACATCTATTGCACAAGAGTCAGTTACTTACAACGATATTATCGAATGGTTCATAAGCACTGAAAAACGTCTTAAGCTTCTCAATAGTGGTGTCCTGTAAAGGAAATCCTTTTATGTAAACTGTCTTAGCCTCCTGTGCCTTCCTATATTCTTCGTTATATATTGGCAAAGGATGCTTTGGAGAACGACGAATCTTTTTTCTATCTTCAGATATTTCCATAAGTTCACTTGATTTTATGGCTTCTAATATAACATTGATATCTTGACTCATAGAGGCCAACAATTTGAAATTTAACATAATAGTCATAGGAACCCATCCTTCGTCCAATTTTGTTTGCTCAATGAGAAATTTATCTCTTTGCATATTCACATCTCCAAAGTAAAACTAGAAATATCGAAATTTTTATTAATTAAATTGTATTATTGCCATTTATGTTATAAGAAAGCTATGAAAATTAAACTTTTTAATTACGTTGAAGAATATCTACATATATCTATACCTATACATATATTGAATCATGAGATATAAATGAATGGATATCTTATTTCCATAATAATTGGTTAATTAATAAAATATTACCTCGACTTGATTTTTTATTCTTTCTAACAGTTCGCTAGATGGTTCCTCAGATTTTACTTTTGGAGAAAGTTCCTCAGAAACCGGCTTCTCGTCTTTAACCTCGACATTGGCATCATTTATTGTAGTCTCGTCTACAATCTTTGTTTTAATTTCTGTTTGAGTCTCTGTTTGAGGAATTGTCTCTCCTTGCCCGTTCTCCATATTTGTTGTTACTATGAGATACGAGCTTTCAAAATTTATTGAGACCTGAACAAGAAATCAATTTCGTACAGATTCACTTAAGTCGATGGTCAAACGTGGTCTGTTTTCTCGGAAACAGGAAGTAACCGTTAGGAAGGAAAACGGTATTTGCATCAATATGAAATTTGAAAATGGCTGCTTGTTATAATTTCACAGTTTATTGCAACATAAAATTCTCCTCTTTTTATTATTCTTATCTCCGAGTAAAGTAATAAATTGGGTATATTTGATAATTATATAAGTTATATGACAAATAGGAGAAATAATTACAATGTTAACTATTAAAATAAATTTTTTTAATTGCAATATATCATTTTTTGAAATAAAGTAAAAATTAAAAATAAATGTAAAAATAATTTTTCTAAAATATCCAATAATTTATAAACTGGAACCAAAAATAAAAATTTTATCGGAATTAGCGCGATGTTAGCCGCGGTCATATAAACAGGCCTGAACACTCGCTAGGGAAAACCATCTATCCTTTGAGTTGAAAAAATCAAGATACAGGACAAGAAAAGATCCCGTTCTACGAGATAGACAGAGATAAGTAGAGTGTCTCTGATTCTGTCCGAACAATGTAACTTACATTATTGTATTTTTATATTAGCATTAAAATGTGCCTAAATATTTCTTCACACTATTAACAGGGGTAGCAAAGCAAAACGAAACAAAATTATGCAAAACACTTACAATTTCTAATGAAGCCTTACTTGAAAATTAATGTTCCTTTATCCTTACAATTTCTTTTAATTTAGTTTATAACTGATATTCATGCATTTTATTTATATATACTAAACAAATAACGTATAAATTAACTAATATTTAGTTATTAATTATAAATTGTTATTAAATTACATTAATAGTATATTTTAAAAACTGAAAGCATAAAAAATATAAATCAAAAATTTACTTTCGAAAGATTGAAATGATAATTAAAATGATTTTTAATGCGTCTACTTTTAATTACAATAAAATAAAAATATAATCTGTATAATTGACAAACTACTTCTTTTGCATATATAAAATAACCGGATATGCCTTGTTCCGGAAATGTATAATAATTTTAGATCTTTATGTTGGCAAACAGGTAAAAGATAAAAGAATGCAATGAAGTTGGCTGCAATCTTTCAGTACTGCGCTCCCTTCCGGTTCGTTCTTTCGGGGAGAGTGAGTCTTGTTTAGTTTAGCTGTAATTAAATCTTTCTCCATCTTCCAACATGAAGATTTACAAGGATATTTTTACTGGTACGTAAATTTAGAATATCATTAAATAACACGTGTAATGAATATTTTTTCAAACTTTTTCATACACTAAGAAATAAAATATTACGCTTGATTGCAAACGGACTAGCAGTGACGTTTCTATCACGAGGACCAAAATTTTAAGAGTAATAACTATAAAATGTTTCCTGACTACGGTTTTAATTGTGTAAATGTGAAAATATATAGTTAAACATGTTTTTAATGGTTTCTCATATTATAGAAACATTATACTGCTTGAATATTTAATATTCTAATTTATAACCTCTCCATATGTTCGAAATGACTCATTTCATTAGGAAAATGATACATTTGACACTAATTACATATTTTGAGGAAGAGTAGAGATTATTATTTTAAATTAACTCTTTTTTAAACTAACTCTGCTGCAATAAAATGATTATTTTGAAGGTTTGATAATTACTTTATACAAAATTTATAAAGTTAAATTTTACGAAATAATATAAGTTTTATATAATTAATTAATTTTACTATATTAAAGGTCATATTTTTATTTTAAAATTTATATTTCAGGCGATGAAATGTTTTCTGACACCTACAAAATAAAGTTGATTGATAATGTTGTATATGAAGTATATGGCAAGGTACCTAACTTTTTACTCTTATTTTTAAATTGTATTTGGGTAACGTGTATTAAACTTATATAGTTGTCTGAATACTTATTTATATTGTATTCGTTGTATTAATATCTTTACCTAAATTTTTTATAACTAGGTAGTCACTCGTAAATCAGGCGACATTGATATTGCTGGATTCAACCCATCTGCTGAAGAAGCTGATGAAGGAACGGAAGAAACGGTGGAATCCGGTGTAGATGTAGTTATGAATCATCGGCTGCAAGAAACTTTTGCATTTACAGACAAAAAATCCTATACCTTGTACTTGAAGGATTATATGAAGAAGTAATTATTTTTCCTATAGTAGTGTAAACTATTACTTTAGTAATATTAAAGCAATATTAATAACGCAATTTTCATTAGATTGGTAGCAAAATTGGAAGAGGAAGCTCCTGATCAAGTGGAAGTTTTCAAAACAAACACAAATAAAGTAATGAAAGACATATTAAGTCGTTTCAAAGACCTACAATTTTTCACTGGCGAATCTATGGATATTGATGGTATTGTAGCATTAATGGAATATCGCGAGATCGATGGTGAATCTGTGCCTGTACTCATGTTATTCAAGCATGGTCTTGAAGAACAAAAGTTCTAAACAATTTTAGGTATTGAAGAAATTGTGGGAAAAAATATTGTGAGTTTTACATTTACTACTTGTATTTCGTTAATATCGTAATCACTTAATGTACGTGTAACTGTGTTAATAATATTCAAAAATAGACTTAAATACATAAACATGTTAATTCATGCCTATACTTCAGTCATTTGTATTTGGCATTGCACAAACATGTAAAAGAAAGATGGTGATCAGATTCCCGCTGTGGTGCGTTTCCTCGACGTAGCGTCTATTATAGCCATACACTAAAAAACAAAGTTTCGTTACTAAACGCATTAAATACATAGCAAAAGTAAAATTAATTTTCGTACATTTTTCCAGATAAACTCAAAGAAGACTGTACACACGCTGAAAAGCTTGTGAAATTTAGTTAAAAGGAAAACACGATTTTACTTCCAATCTCATTTTATAATGCAGTTAATTTATTCGTTTCAACAACAATCAATGACTCGAAGTCTCACAGGAGTTAATAATTGTACATATGACTTTACTGGAGGGAAGATATACAAGACATCCTTTCGATTGTATTATCTGAGTCTGATTTCCCTGTAGACTTGTAATATTTTCTATCTTTTTTATTGGTCACTTATTAGAGAATTTAATTTATGATTCAAAAATGGAAGATGGGGAAAGAAGTTTGCAGCAATGAAAATATCAAAACATACGTCTAATTATTGTTAACACAAAAAGAAATGTCCTTGGATAACAATTAAATCTGAAACATACTCTGTATAATGTCCATCAAATAAAAAGGTGTTTTCATAAGTACTGCTTACGAGCCGTGTTCTTATTTTGATTATCTAATTGTTTAAATTAACTTTCCGTAATAATACAGGTACATAGTAAAACAAACAATTATTAATTTGCTTCATAAAAATATTATATTTAGACAAGTCAGAATAGACGATTTATCTCTTGGCGCAAGACCATACATTATATTTTTTTACTCAAGGACTGTTATTAGCCATACTGTTTTACAAGTATATTCATAATATGACTTCTTCGCGTTTCTTCCATTAACAACCTCTCTCTCACTATCGCATTCTCTCTTACACTCTTTGTTTTCTATATTTATATAATTTGTGTATCCATCGTTATCGTCATCATATTTATTACGCATATTCTTTTATGAATATATTACTCTCGTTCATTATAAAACAGTTACCGATCCAATATAGAACTCTTCACATTCCAAATACGTTTTCATGTGCCATTACCTGAAAAAGTGTTATGTTAACACATAGAAAAGCGTATTTTAATAATGTAATAATAATTCATATGTATGTACGTATGTACACAGCCGTAAATGTATACATATACATACACGTACGTTTAGTAAATGAACGTTCAATAAGTATATACGAATTAATTATCGCTTCAGAATAAGTCGAAAACTGACATTTACAGCTTAAAGATAGTAAAATTGAACTCCAAAAAATATACGTACATACAATTATATATTTATGTATGTACGCATTCGTCGTTCATAAATATGCACATATAGACATTGCTTTAATTATCGAGCACAACCATAGTGTCATTAGTTACTAAGCACTAAGATGAATTAGTATCTCAATTTCAAACAATGTATTGAAAATGATGCGATACAATTTAACATACCTGATCTCGTTATAATAAATTGTGTTAGCCATGTAGAAATAAAAATTGTTATTCGCAAGTACCTTTAAGCTGTTAATACAATAATGATTTCTCAAGTGGAATATTATGTTAGAGAGCTATTCCATACATTTATGATTATTATATTTTCGAACAAAAACGATAAATGTTTTGTTCATTAACCTTCTTAACATTACAAGTCTTGCGCATAATTCAATGATGTACAATCAAATTATAAAAATCTACTTAATAAAATGGTACAACAATTTCATAAGAATCGTTCCTTTTTTTCTCATTGTTTCAATTCGAAGGAAGAAAGATGAAACATGGAATATCGGACCATGCTAATGTTCCAAAAAATAGTTAATCACAATGGCAGTTGTGTAAGTTAATTTGTTATTAATGTATAGCATTCATATTGATACATGAAAGTTTCTGACATTTATACACACAGAAGGATTTGTTTTTAGTACTCTGGCTTTTTAGTTTAGTTCGTCAAAGGTACAATATTTAGTAGGACACCTGCTACTTTTTTAAGTGGGATGTACCTTACGATTCAGTAAGGTCGAACAATTATTTTATTCGTTATTACTATTAGTATTAAACTTATTTGTACTGGTCTATGCAGAATGGGTGCGTGTGGAACCTCTTTGATACTACCATAATATACCATGATTTGATATTCTAAAATTCTAATTTTTAATAATAACATTCATCTTCATTTTAGTATAAGAAAAATATAAAAATATAAAATACAGAGCATGGACGTATATCGTTAACCATCTAAACAATTAGGTACATAGAAAGTATTCCTAAGTACCAAATGACGACGAAAAATATACATACTTAATTTAACGTAAGGATTTATTCTCCAATTATTTTGATATTCATAATGGTACAGAAGGTTTGCAACGCACCGCATTCATTCTTTCTAGGACACTGTTACTAAGTAAAACATCACTACATACAATTTGAGCATCGTACGATTTCTATAATAGTTCAAAGAAGTATGGCAAAAGCATCAAGTTTACATTGATTACAATCATGTACACGATTTGTGTATAGCACTTCGTTAGAGAAGCATGCTATTATTTGATAGATTTTTTGCTCCAATACATTCCAAGATTCACCATGTTGAATCTCTTACCTTTAATACATCTAATCGTAGGACATTAAAAATTCTGCCATTATCTTTGTTATTCTACTGACCGCTACTGAGGTTCTCAATTATTATTTGTGAAAGAGTTCTGTTTATATGTTCATATATTATTATACGTATGTATAGATATCATCATTTTAACATTTATATATTTATATGAAACTTCATTCACAGGTAGCTTCATTCACGCCCGCCAATCCTAATGGTCTTTCACTTGCTTATCTTCTTTTATTATTACTATTTATTATTACTATTATTACACGTATCGAGGAATTAGATGAGGTGATCGCAAAACGCGTTTCATTCAGAGGTAATTTTGGTCGAGATGTATATTTCCAGTATGGATGTAAAGAAACAGAAGATTACATCCTGGATTATAAAACACCAAGAAAATTGACATTACAGAGATCGTAATACGATTTTCTTACTATCTTATACGAAACATATAAATATAAGTGATTTGGTTTGAATTTATTCTTGGAAATTATTTGAAATCGTCGAAATTGGATCGAGTAACTATGAAAAAAGTTTATCCTGTGTTTGTGTGTCGCACGAGAGAACTATAGAAAAAGAAAAAGAAACAATTAGATATAACAGGCGTTTGAAATGAATAGCAACTCCAGTGATATTAAAAAAAAAATCGGGAATTTAATAATGTGTTTGTTTTTTCTCATGGTATGCATAACATTAAAAACTCTCATCAAATAGATAACAATAACCAACAACTAACAATCGTAAGCATTCACGCAAAAATAGAAATATGTTTAATAATTTTTTAATATTATCATAATTTATATTATCGAAGTAAGTGTGATCATTCCTTACGATTTCTAGAGTACTATAGTAATTTATGTAGATGACTAAAACTGAAGGACACTAAGAAGATAAATCTTTTTCACTCTTCTAAAATCTTAAAATCGAATTACAATCTAGAAAGAATAAATCTTACGAAATATCTTACAAAAGAAAAATATAAATAAATGTTTATTTATACATTTTTTGAATAATGCAGCAAGATTCTTTCAATATATATTATAAAATATATATTTATATTTTTAAAAATTCTTTCTTAACTTACCGATAGAAGAATAAAATATATAAAAATTTGGATTCTTTATTGCCACCAATTCAGATCGATCACAATTCATATCATTTTTTTATCTATTTAAAAGTAGAAAATTAGTAAAATTCAAAATCTATAAAACTAAAATATGGATCTTTTCGTTAAAAATCCTGTTATTTTCTTACATCCTTCAGCTCAAATCATAAAAAGTGTTTTGTGAATTACTAACAACGACGATAAGGTTCCTATCATAGTCCTGTCACTGATCAATTAATTCTTATATATCTAGGTTTAAATGATAAACTATACATTGAAAGCATCGCATCTTTTGAATGTTTTTTACTTTTTCCTTTTTTAAGATTTTACATCTCATAATGCAGTGAATTCAAAGGAAAAAACCGAAAATTTTCGATAATTAGTAAATTTTAGTACATTATCAATATGCTATCGAATTACTTATACTGTTCGCTATTATGTAATCACATAATGAGAAATTGTTATCGAACGAAACGAACGCTATCGAATAAAGTGGAAAAAATATTAATAAACGAGTTATATGAAAAATTCCATGGAATTCGCTGTATACCAAAAGTAAAAATCGTCCTTAATAAGAAATCCTCTTTCGCATTTCAGTTTATCTTTCAACAGTATGTATGAATCAATGATTCTTGATATATCGAGCGTACTATTTATTCACCGGTTTTGTAACAGCATATGTTACAATTTCAATATTTCTTGTTACAGACATAAGCTGCATATATATACATATAATATATATATATATATACACATATATATATATAAAAAGAAATATTATAATATATATAATCATATATAATTAATAATGAATTAGTAAGTTTTATTTTCTTTCTTCCATACTCTAAAATACAAAACAATAAATTATCGTATTATAGTGCACACACGTGTAGAACGTTTCCGTTTTATGCAAGTATGTATAATAATAATAATGATAATAATAATAATAAAATAATAATGACAATAATAATAATAATAATAATAATAATAATAATAATAATAATAATAATAATAATAATAATAATAATAATGACAATAATAATAATAATGACAATAATAATAATAATAATAATAATAATAATAATAATAATAATATATCTAGATGCGATCGTGGCTCTTTCAAATGACGATCCGAATCGAGGCAGCGTTGGAATGTAAAAATACCCGATAAGCTTACGCTTATTAAGGATTGCACCCACGTCGAGGACCGCAATCCATAGAAAAATGGCGGAGATCGTTGGAGAATCGTGTCGTCTGTACAACTATATATGTATTCTGAAAGACTGGCGAAGCAGATTGAAACTGACACGTCAACGATGACAAGAGATAACACAGGTTGTAACAGAGGATGTAACAAAAAGGTAAGAAGAAACGTGAGAAAACAGCGTCTTAGGAACTTCCACGTGGTTGCAGAGAGTAAACAGTTCGACGTGAGCGCAATCGAAGCCCAGACTAAATCAAGGATCGGCAATATCCGGTAGGAAATCGTCACGCGTGAGAACTTTGCTCGGACATACGATGGCATGACACACATACTCGACGTGTGTCATAGACTAAAGAATGCAAAGAGAGATCGTTCCAAGGTATACATAAGCGACTTCGAGAGCTTGGAAATTTCATCGAATCGATCGTTTAAAAAAGCGCTGGGGGCTCTTTGTTCTCCGCGAGTGTATTATCCGTTGCTCGACTTCCGGCATGCTCTCGATACGAATCGAAGAAAAGGATCGTCTTTACATCAAATATAATGCGCTATCGAACAGATATAAATAAAATGGTGAAGAAGAAGAAACGTAAGTAAATTCCACCTTACTCGACTTCTGTGAGAGTATCAATTTTTCTTTTTGTTTTTTTTTTCTTTTTTCGTTTTTTAACCACCGTGAGAGGCGTGTTAGAGTTACCAACGGGAATTTCTTTTCTTACACACGCATATATATATATATATATATATATATATATCTTGAGTGCTGTTCTTTGTTTTTCTTTTCTTGTTGATATATATCTATGTATATATATCCATGTATACATACATATATATTATATATATGTGTCCTTTTTTATGTTCCGTTATTTTTTTCCTTTATAAATCGGTGTGCCCCAAGACGCGGCACACCTTTTGCTCCTAAGGGTCCGACCGTGACTCTAGCATCTCCACGAGGAAATCGTCGATCGGCACGTCGCCGATCATTTTGAAGAAGAACAGGTACTCCAGACACTTTAATCCGATGGATCGGATGGCCGGCAGACGTAACAGTAATTTCGCGAATCTTCCAGCATCGTCGGGCCAGGCTACGCGACAATAGCCTTCCAGCGCTGCGTAGATCTTCTCGCGGAGCAGGGTCACTTCCTGGATGGATTTTAGTCCTCGGACTTCGGGGTTGAAGAGTATTATAGATCTGTTTGTGATTAATTGCTCGATAAATGAACGTAAACTCGAGAAAATAGAGAAGCAAGTTTAATCGTACGCGTAATACAAACGATACTTTTCAATTCCTTCGATCCTTTATAGATACGCTTAATATAAATTGAAAGACACGATCCAAAAAAATATTAACTCAATACCAACGATTAATCGAGGAACTTGAATAGTATCTCTTCTTAGTGTTTTCTATTTCTATCCTATCTCACATTCCTACCGTAAAACAAGCATTTTTCGAATATACAATAGAACTCCATTTACTTGTGGTTAACTGGAAATCAAATCAGAGCTGGCCTAACGCGAGCTCTTAATTATGCGAATGACAAGTAATAGATCGAACAAAATCAGAGAATATCAGAGGAACAGCTATTATATAAACCGTTGGTCCCCGATCGATGTTCCGGTAAACGGAGTTCCACTATAATCTATTGTAATCGATAATTAATAATTGTAATATGAAAGTAAGGATTACCAACCTCAGGCAACCAAGCTCCGTCCTGTCCATCTTCATTTCGCGCATTTTCGATACAAGCTCGGAAAGTACCCGGTCGAATATCGTGCCCACGCCAGCCTGCTGCGCGGAGTTTCGGTGCACCGTGATCCCTGTCGCCAGCACGATACCGTCCTTCACGTCGATCGAACGGTGGGAAAAGGATGCTATCAGCAACTCGTTCCAGCCGGCCCTGAGCAGAAGTACCTGATCCTCCAGCGGCAACGACGTAAAATGCGGGATGTGTTTCGCCCATGCTACCAGCTGGAACAGCTGTTTGTTCGTGGCGTTGCAAATGTGCGACACTGCATTCTGTGCATTGCAAGAGATGCCGAATTAATCGGAGGAGCGTTTCGTGGAACAGCTACGCGCAACCATTCCACGAAAATCAGTTCACAACGTCGTTGTTCATACGATGGCCGGAGAAAAACTGGCGACAGTTTCCGGTTCGCGTTCCGGTTGCAAAGTCGAATATTCTGATCCTTATTTGAGTTTCCACAGTCAATTAACAAGTTGATCCAAATCCGAAATTTCACGAAAACTCAAACACGAAATTTCATGTCTCGAAAACGCTCGAAATCCACGATTCGTATCTCTTTTTCTTTTTCTCTAAGGAATACGTATTTCGCCAGAAGCAAAAGCCCCAAAAAAGCATTTGCAAAAAGCAGATTATCGATAGAAATCAAAGTTGCTACTGACCGGCATTGACGATAGTCGTCTGTTCGATTTGCAAGGAATTAAATTGTTGTTTTATCTTCTGTCGATACAAATGACGGTAACGAATTGATGGAATCGTACTAATTAAAACGAGTCGGAACAAGTCTGTAAAAAGATACTGGTAAAGTTGAGAAAGAAAGAAGACTTTGAAGTTACATCGATTCATTTTAACGAGATAAATACTTCTGTACCGTTATTATATGTCCTCGATTATTTCGACCAGCTTATTCATCGATGCATACACGACTCGATCAATTTTTTAATTCGCATTACACGACGAAACGATCATATCGGATCGCCAATAAAGGACACCTCGAACGAGATTAATTCAATCACCAGTCCAGGGTCCAATGACGAACAAATTGATTTCGTCCCGGGAGAGCTGTACATTGCATAAAACCGACGTTCCAATCTTACCAGCTTCTCCGTCACGTTCATGTTCGATAAATCGCTGAATGAAACGCAACCACGGTTTTTATCTAACTACTAGTCGAGATACTAGTCTTAATTAGAAAAAAAAAGAGAAAGAAAGAAAAAAGATAGAAAAATAGGACGAGTCGTGTATACCGAAAGCGGAGCGTGTTCAAACGAAAAATAAAATTTCTCAACCGGACAATCGACGTGGTGAACTGTTCCAATTCTACTCTTACTATTTTCGCTTTTTCTCTCCGTCGTTTCTCGTTAATATTTACCTCGTAATTTCCTTGCTGTTCCATTTTGCACTCGACTCGTTTCTCGGCTTCCAGAATACGCTCGATCGGCATGTCCGAGTGCAGACTACTGGTGCTCTCCACCTCGCTCTGATCCCTTTCCTTGGTACGTTGACGCTCTTCCTGTACTGCTTCTCTCTTCATGCCCATCGCCAGGCATTTCTGGTATCTACAATACTGACATCGATTTCTCTGCCGTTTGTCGATGATGCAGGATTTTTCCTCGCGACACGCGTACGACAGGTCCTTGCGTACGGTCCTCTTGAAAAAGCCCTTGCAACCCTCGCAGCTACGAGCGAAAGAACGGAAAGGTTACTACGGCAAGATGTACCGTCACGAACGATTTTACAACGGACGAGTGCTATAACGAACGATTTTTCTAACTAACATCAATCCGTTATAACAACGTACAAAGATGTTGCGACGAACAGCAAGAAATATCGGACGCTCTGCCGATTTTTCTAGCTCGCTTTCGTTACGACGGTAAATAGTAAACGCTAATGGACGATGCGAACCTGTTTCAAGCTCGCTTGCTTCCATTCTCGTTTAGCGATATCTACCGCGTAGAACGTAGAAGATAGCTAAGCAACGTAAGAACTGGCGAACAGCGCTATAAACTAACGTGATCCAAGATGAACGAGTACCGGATGTCATAGTCAAGGGGCGAGATTTGTTTATGCATAGATAACGATGGCTGAAGAAAGCTGGCAAACACGATTGCCTCGTCGTTTTATGATCGCCACTGAATAAGAGAATTTCATATTGTTTTTGCCATTTATTTTCTAGCTTGTATTACATATTTCCAGCGTTTGAATGGTCGTAGCGGTGATAACTTTGCTATTAACCGTGGGCTTGGGACGTGTCGCTTCTAAATACCTACGTGTCGATGTACGTTACAACGAACAGATGCTGCAACGTACGTGGTTCGAGCGCATCTTGTCGTATCGTAATCGATTATGTTCGTAAAAATTGTGATTTCGCTTTACGATTTCTGTCTGCTGAAAAGGATACGCGTACGTTTTATTTTATTTCATTCTGATTCGGTTCCTAGGAGATACGGGAGAACGCCTTGCAACCCTCGCAGCTGCGAACGAAAGAAAAAAAAGAAAGAACTTTATTAGGTTGTCCGAAAAGTTTCTTTCGTTTTATGAAGAAATAATGGACGCGCAACGTCTTTGTTGTCGAGATATGTATAATTTTCTGTGCTGGACTGGGTTAAATGCGTAGTAGAGATGCTGGTATGTGAGTGTCGGTGTGTGGAGGTGTGTATGTGCGCGGCGTCTCAAAAACAGATGAATGTAAACTAGTCAGTCGGTTAAGAGTCGGGTATGGAAGAAAGTGCTGAGACGCGTGCAAGTGTGTATCGATGAATATATAAGGAATCGTCCATGAAATAAATATATTACCATTTTAATATGAATCCTCGGTGTAAATTTAGCGTTCATATAACATTATTTCGGCTTCAAAGATCCACGATTCTCAACATTTGTTTTATATTATTTTGTCGAATTACGTACGATCCATTTCGTTCTGTCGAGACAAACACCGCGACGTTTCACAGACATGCTTTCACGTTTGTACGAAGCTGCATTGTTGTAAAAGACACGTTCGCGAAAGAAAGACATTCTTCGGACAACCTAATACGTATATTTACTCGTTGTGTTCTTTAATAAATTTCGAATAACGCATCTTATTCGTCTTCCCAATGTGTTATTACGTAAAATGTATAGTATAAAGATTCGCGTGTCTTTTTTAAATTTCCTTTGTTATACGAACTGCGACAATCGATTTACTTTCTCCCAAGAGACGTATCGTTTCGTTAAAATACCGTGGAAAATTATTGGATCATAATGATCACGTTGTAAATCCTCAAAGTCCAAACACCCGGTAACATTACTTTCGTCGAGGTGACTTATTCGTGCAAGTTGCAACTTTCGATTGTCTGGTGGCGACGATGTTCTCTCCGGGACAGCGGATTACGCGAAAGAAATCGTAAACCCGGGATACTTTATTCAAAGAATCCTTGGATTAGTCGAGCGGAGCAGAGCGAAGGAGCCGGATAAGACGCGCCAACGAATTCCAACTCTTTTTACGACGCACGAGTCGGTGTTGTCTGGGTTTTGCAGTGATTCACACACCGAAACCGCGAATTCCTCTTGATCGTGTCGAAATTTATTCGAAAGTATTTTCTAACAGGGCACTTGGGAAGATGCAACGAGGGAAAACGCAATTTATGTCGTTTCCTAGTTAATTTTGTACCTCTGGAACGCGTTTGATGTAATCGATGGAACGTTCGCGACAGTAATTTGCTTACAAAGGTAACTAAGAGTCCTAAGATCTAGGAATTTGGTCAACGAATTTGAATTTTAAGAAACTTTAGTCAGAAGAAGAAACTGTCAGAGAAGAATTTCGAGGGCTAGGAATGGATAATTCGAAAAAACACCACCGTTCCTATTTCTTCCTTTATTTTTCTTTGCCAATATCGTGTATTTAATAAATACTTTTTTATTTAAAAATCTTGTTCGAATCGTGCCACGTTCGAAACATACGTCCGATATTTTAACCGATAGAAATCTTCTTACGATTAATTTAGCTTTTTCTATCTTATAGAAAAAGTTAGAGAAAAATAAATATCTTTTTGAAATTCGGTGTTTCATTTTTTGACAAAGAAATTCGTAATTTAAAAATCTTGCGTAATGGTAGCTCTAATCAGCACGAGATTTCAAACGAACTTAACGATGCAAAGACACGAAGGAAAGAGGTGCATCCACTTGTCGTCGCTATTAAAAGTGAAAACAAGAGAAAGGCACGCTAAACCGTGTCGAAAATACGCGCGATGTTTTGTGACCGGCTGGAGCAAAAATAAATTCTTACTCGCGGAATGTCGCCACTGTTACTGGAGAGGTTCCAATTTTAAAAACGAGTCTCGCCAATGGTTGGCCATCATCGAGATCTTAACGACAACGGAAAGTGGAAAGGTTGTTTGCAATACTAAAAATTTAAACGGTCCTCGAGAATACGTTCCACGAGTTTCGTCAAAATTTATCATCCTCGTTAGCTTCGAGGAAGACAGACATATTAGATGCGACAACCGAAATGAATTAAAGTCTTTTTTAATTAGCGTCTGTATACGTTTCGTCTTCACAGCACATACTACATTTTCGTATTTGTATGTGAAAGTACACGATATGAAATTTAATATATTCGCGCATACTTTTTTTCTAGCCACTCTGTACTGTAGAAAAATTGTACGTGCGCGTTGTATTTGTCGCAGAAAATATTTTGAAGTTTCAGTAACATTGGAACCAGACACCACACTGTCGTGATATTGGTCAAGTGTGAAACCAATTTAAATCCTAACGTCGGTAAACGAAAAGAGAAGAGATTTGGAATAACAATAAAATGGAAAGAAAGAAGTAAAATAGAAGCAAATATTCGATCATAAAATGTTTCGTTCGTTCGGATCATGCGGTTCTTATCGAACGCTTCTGCTTTGCTCGGTTCGTAAATTCGACGAACGCGAAAGAAGAACAATACGGAATAGTAATCCTATGGATCTCGACGAATGTCAAAACTCTGTCTCTCGCGACCTTCGCTAGGAATAGCACGACAATACGCGAGTTATCGAGGATTTATTCGTGTTTTCGGCTATGAAATCCGCTAAAAGCAACGCGGCGTTTGCACCGTCGCGAGGGTAAAACAACGCTTATTCGTTAGCGATGAATTTGGACGAGCGGTAAGTTTCAATGGCTGATAAAATACGTCGAAGTGTTTAAGAAAACTCAGAAAGATTTTGGAACAATTGCAAACGATACATACTTCTGAAAAGTAATGGGAAATTAATATTCATATTCTATATTTTGATCTTATTTACACTTCTTTCTAATCGCAAACGCTGTAGGTACATAGAAAGTGAAATGTGTGAAAGACACGCGAGAAAATTTCTGGACCACCGTGAAAGTCGTTTGATCTCGTTGAGTTTACGCGAAAGACAAATAAGTCTGACGCGGGACACGCGTGGAGAAGCTCGACCCATGGACCAAAGTTCCGCCATAGGAAACGCGCAAAGGCCTCCGGCATTTGCCTATCGATAACATCGATTTTCTTTGATCTACTACCGTTTAATGTTTCTCTACGAGTAAAGTAACTCGTAATCTCGCGTAATCTCCTTGAAGACCTACTTAAATCGTGTTGTGAAAATAAAGAAAGCTTCGACAGCTATCGTACGTAATAGACATCGATTAAGAAGGATTCAGGTTTTTCTACGAGGTTGCGTTCACTTTGTCAAAACATTACACGGTTTATTTAGATCTACTTAGATAATTTTTAAGTTTCAAAACTAAATAGCTCGAGGAAATGAAATTAAACTTTGCTATACTTGTACTAATGACACGGGAGAGATGGTTCTGTCTGTATACAAGCTCGATGGTCAAAGTGTCGAGAACTCGTTTCGACGAGCTCGGTCTTCCATTAATTCCGTCGAGTATAATTTCTTGTTTAATTATACAGTCTCGATCACGTTTTATCAGCCTAATCGCTTTATTAATTATTGAACTACTTTGCGACGACTCTTGGATTTATGCTGTAAAAAGCAGCAGCGAGTCTAACGTACAAGGGAAAAAAGAGATTACTAGAGATTAAAAAGAAAGAAATTGCGTCTTTCGAGTTTCTTGCTGTAATTCATGGCTAATAGGCAGAATCGATAAGATTTGATTAATCTTGAGAGACTTCTCTAAAAATAATCTCTCTTTAGTTTTACGACATTCGTTATCTTTGTTACAATTTTAGCATTTCTTGATGATCCATTGTTCTCGATTTTTCGATCTTTTTTCCTTTTCAACGCGCCTTGTTTTCCAGCTATCGATATCGCTAGCCCAATTCATTCTTCCATCTGCTATTACCGTTGTATTGCCTCTTTTGAAAAATTCTCCGTCTGAAAAGCGTTCGACAGAAACATTCCTCGGCAAAAGGTAATCGAAAACAGATAAAAGAAAAAAAACTGTAGCGCGCTTTGACTACGTTAAATAAAGAAATTAAAAATCCATCGCTGGGAGGAAGTCATAAAGTGCATAGAAAATACCAGTCAGCCAATTAATCATGAAAAGCAGGAAGAAACGAAGGAAGAAAGGATTGTTGTTTCTTACAGACCGGCGATATATCTGACACGGACCCTGATAATGGCCGTGATTGCTTAATTAGCTGCCACTGGAGCAAAGTGGCTGCACGAACAGCAGAAGACAAGGCTCGTCGTCCTCCCTTGCCCCGTAGGAACTACGGCTGGCTAGTCGTCCTAACCACGCGAGCAAGTCCAAGGTTGTCGAGACTCTGATGCAACGTGAACCATCATCATCGGCCGTGGTCACTGATCACACACGCGCAATACCCAAAGTGGGGAGGCGGATGACGATCGGAGTGGAGCACAGTGATACGCTCTGTGTATGACTTGAAAACGATTGGAATTGCGAGAAGAGTCCCAAAGAATTGATAATTTAAATGGGCGAGTTTCAGTTTAAATAAAGAAATTTCGAACGTTTAACCGCAGCGAGAAAAATTAGGATTTCAGATTTAAATACAGAAAGTTGGAAGTTTCGGTTTGCATAGAAGAAATCGAGACTTTGAAGGTTGGAATTTTTTACTTTACTTTAATTTCGAACGAACGACGTAAGAAAAAGAAGAAGAAAGACAGAAAAGATAAAGGAAGCGAAAAACCAGTAAGCTTGTAGCTTTCAAGATCGTTTTATCGCGCGTTTATTACACATTGATGATCTCGAGTTTTTCGAGCGACTCACGTGCAACGCACGACGCTTAATCGGTCGATGACGTCTATTACGTGGAACATCGGTTGGTTCTTAATCAATTAAAAGCGAGATAGCAAGCGATACGTGGTAGAAATGGTTCGGAAACTCGATAGTCAACGCTCGATCGTTTCTTCTTGCATACAGACACGTTCCATCCAATTAAACGAAAAAAGAGAGAAACGAAGAACTTTATTAACCCGAGTTTTCGTCGAGTATTGCAAAATTTCTACGGCGTGCACATCTATAAATATACTTATCTTTAACATCGTTTTTCAAGACGAAAGCGATAAACGCGTTGACGAGAAGTCCTCGACGTTAAAGTTTAATTTTTCGACGCGTTACGGAAGAGAATCATCGTCGACTTCTTCGTCTGACAGATTCATCCGTTACGAACGCGTTACATACGAGTTTCTTGCGCGTTAAAATATTTTTCTTATTTACGTTAATTCTTGCAAACCTCGACAGAATGATAATCGACTTAAAGTCGAAACAGTAAGAGTTACAAGAATCAACAAGGTTAAAAAAACTAAAAATAAAAAAAAGAATAAATAACAAAATACTTCGTCTAAACTACAAATCTTCATGGAGGTTGTTCTCCGATCAACGGATTGCCGATATTTGCTGTGCATACACGATAATATTCTTATCTTCGGTTTGTGTCTCCAAACAAAAGCGTCTAATCGCGTTTCTAGCGCTACAAACTTATCCAATTGAAACTTTTATCGACTTCCTAATTTCGTGTGAATTCTGCACGCCGTAACCAGTAGGGACGAGAACCAAGAAAGAAGGTGGCCTACCTACTCAAGAAGCTAGTCGAAGGTGTGTTTCACGAATTGTTTCTTCTATATCTGGCGCGCGAATGAAGATGCCTGTACATTGCACAGTGTACGCTCGTTTGTGCAAGATGATATATTTCACTAAATGGATATTTATATCCGTCTCTTGATGTCGTTATTAATGTTATTAATTTAACCCTCATCCATCTCTTCTTACAGTAGATATAAAAAGATTGTACGTCCTCTGTATCATTTTTTATCGTACTTTTTAGCTTCTAGAACTCGTAAAGCCATGACGAATCTTTTTTACGTCGTAAATTCTCAGAAATTTTGTTTCTACCACGCGTCGCTTCGTGAAAATTTTAAGGTAAAAGAAATTTATTAAGTTGTTAATAAATTTGAATTCCTTTGACTCCAGAATAATATAGGAGTCGATAAAAATATATGTAACCTGTCATTAAAAAAAAATTGATGGTTTATTATCCATCCATCACGGTCTCGTGTCCTTCGTGTCGAGGCAAGTGGTTTTTCGTGAAAAAAGAGCGATTTACGAGCGACTTATTTATCGTATTTTATATACAGAGTTGCTAAAAAATACGTCACCATTCATGGGATATTTTAGTATCCAGGTGTTACATAATTCTATAAGAGATGAATTATTCCTAAGTCACCTGGTATCGATCAGTTTAATATGGGACGTGGACTATTCTACTTTCTATTTCAGTCTTCGAATAAATCCATCCTGTGTCTCATCCTCTTCTCTCTTAATTCTTTTAGTGTTTTTTTGTCTGTAAGTTACTATTCGTCGATTCAATTCCAAAGCTAAAACGAAAGAAATATTTTTCATTTTTCTCCTTTCTTATTCAGTCGATAGCCATTCAGACTGCATTTTCTCAATAATCAACGTTGGAAAAATGTTATAACTCTCTGCATCTGATTGTACCACGTTATTGGCATAAACACCTTGTCGTTACAACGATATCGCAGTAAGAACGATCTCTTTGTAACGACATTCAGTGCAATTCAATAAACGGTGCCGGTTGTAGGTCTGACAACAAACGAGAAGAGATACAGAACGAAGGCAGTGGGAGGTCGAAGGTGACGATAACTAAAAAAAAACAAGCACTTATCATTGCATCCAAGACGACGTTATCGTGACCACTACGTTATAGGTAATTGTTGAAAATGACAACGTGAGTTCGTGCTCGCCACCCATATGCAGATGCGTTAGTTATACGAAATAGTAACTAGAAGATAATCCTAGTTACAATCGATAGATTTAATCGACAGGCTTAAGATGCTTTTTTGTTTTTATTCCTAGCTTTTGTAAGCGCGTGCAATAAAGGTTTTTTTTGGCTCAGAACGGTGTGATAGATTTATCCATTCGATAAAATAATAACTATCGTGATCCTATCTCTGAGTACAGAAATAACAACAGTAAATCAACGAAATTTATTAATACGTTCTGAAGCCACCCCTCTCCCCCTAACTATCCAGAGGTCAAGGTTATCGAAGCGAATTCATCGATCTCGAAGTGACCGTCACGACTGATGAAAAAATCGTCCGATATCCGGAACGAGACCGATTTGTATTCATTGCTGAAAACCCTGACAAATTGGCCTCATAAAACAAGGAACCCTACGAGAATCTCTAAGCTCGTATAGCAAATTCGTAAAAATAATAGAAAAGAAAGGTATTTTTTCGAACATTTTTATTTCGCACAGTTCAGAAATTGAATAGCTTGATCAACGTACTAGCAAGGAAATTAATTCGGAAAGTTTGCAAATTTGCTTCGCATACGATTGTCCGTTCGTTTATTCAGTTCGTTCGTGAACTTGTAAATGTTAATGTCTGACTTACCTATAGACACCATAATGCTTGCCACTGGCACGGTCACCGCAGATCGAGCAAAGATGCTTGCTTCCGGAAAGAGGGTGGTTCGGCGGATAGGGTGCGGCTGCTTTGTTCTGTCCACTCGGCGACGTACTCAGAAGGTTGCTGTGACAACCAGCGGTGAAGGATCTTACATGCAAAGAAGAGAGTAACAAAAACTCCAGCTACGAAACTACTGACCCGGATCGAGCAAAATACCGTGAAACTTTTTTTTTAAACAATCACCTCTGTATACGAAGTGGATTTTGCAACGTATTTTCTACTATTAACAGGCCGCTAGTAAAATTTGGAACAACTTCTCAAATTACCGTGTATCCAAGTTTCTAAATAACTTTGCAACATTCGTTCCAGAGTTATCGTTATCAAATTAAGATAACTTTTATTATTATAAAAACATTCGGAAGATTTCGTTTTACAGCTTCCATAAGCAAAGGTTCTTAGCTTTAAATATCTCAACGACGCTCTATGTGTTACGTGGCAATAAAATGGTAGAAAGAAAATGAGAAAAGGAACGGTATGTTGCTCGATTTCTATAAGGGCGCGGCTACGTTCATGGTAAACCCTCTATTTACGATATCTTCGCCAGAATGCCGTTTTTTCGCTATCTGTCGAACCGAATTCAATTGTACCTCCGTGCCATCGATACAACGATAATCGTTAAATCGTTACGAATTATCGAGAAAATGGTGGTGTTACTTACCCAGGACTATTGGGACCGGAAGGACTGAAATTCCCTGGATTGATGAGGCTCGCTGTGTCAGGTTTCATGTCCAGTGGACTTTGTGGACCCACCGAGGACATGGACATGTTACTGTTGTCCAGACTCAACCCTGGAACAAACAAGTTTTACGTTATTAAGGGAATACGTTTCTTTTCTTTTTTCCTCTTTTTTTGTAAAACGACGGGATTGGTTTTTTTTTTTAAGAGAATCGTTTAAAAATAGCAAAATACTGTTTGCATTAGGTTCATTAAATTATATTATATTAAACATATATTAAATACGGATTTAGTAAGTATAACTTGTTTTAAATCAAATCTATCGAACGGTGTTCGGATAATTCCTTAGCCAATGGCTAATTTGTAATCTTTGTAAACGTTGCTCGTAACACACGTGTCCCAAATAACGTTACTTTCTATCGCGTCACAGAATTACACTTTTACTCCATTAATATTCACGAGACAGCGTCCTTTTACTTTCAACCTCGACTGACCGAGATTCCCATTTGCCGACCGATCGAGGACGACTCGTCTTGTCCAAGACGCAACCACGTTAACTACCACCACGAGACTCGGAGTCATGATTTACAGCTACAGGAAGAACCGATACGATATTAATCAGCGTGATCGTTGCAAATTCTATATAGGCACGCGTATAACGTAATACAAATGTAACGCTGTTGAGTAAATTACATGTAAAATGTAATTCTCTTTACATCGTGTCGCGCATGATACAAAGTGTTTTTCATAAAGCACAGCAGATTCGGAATAAATTCTCGCAAGAGCTGAAACAATTTGGCGACCTCGTGTACGTAAAACTACCTTAAAATCTACCTTATAATAGGTCGAGTAACTACTCGCAAATGTACTCAACGCGTAGCATAAATTTTCGCGAAAGCTTTGCTTCGTTCCATGACAAAAACGTAACAGCTCTAACGAGACGAGAAAATGGATAAAACGGATTCCGACTTGCCATTGCAAAACATCGCATCGCAGCTTTATGTCTCAATAGAAGAAGCAACGTCGAGTAAGTCGCGGTACAAATTGCTTGTTTCACCATATCGTCCCTCGTAATTCGCGTGGTTCCATCATCGTGCTCCGTTCTCTACTACGGTAACTGTCTCGATGCTTTTTTTCCACGCTCTATTTCGAGCGCGATTTACGATGAACCATGCACCAGTCGAACAGACACTCGCATATACCTACACGTCGTGGATTTTCTGTCGTGGCGTACAGAGTATCGGAAGATAAACGACGTTTTAACAGGGTTTGGACGAGCATCGTGGCCGTCTGCTGTTATTTAACGAAGGGGAGAGGGATGTAATCGTTGAAAATGACAAAGCGGAGAGCGGAGAGGCAAGTGTAACTGTGTAAAACGACGGAGATCCGGGGCGAGTTAGGGAGAGACAGGGAGAGACAGGGAGATCTCCGAACCCCTAAGGATGCTAGCAAGTGCACCAATAGTTGTAAATTCGATGTCATAATTCTTTCCTCTCTGTTCTATTTTTCCTTTTGTTCCTTTATTTTATAGCACGTTCGTTCCATTATTTTATTTTCCTCTTTTTTCTTTTTTTTTTTGTTTTATTTTACGCAAGAGAACCTCCTTCTCTTAAATCTCTTTCATTTTCATTTATAGTTAAACAGACAAAATCCTTCACGCGCAAAGCCAACCATATAACTTCAAGGTTAAAATGATCAACGAAATATGTTTCGAAAACCTCTATATCTAACGATGTAACAAATTAATTCAAGAAAGAACAGTTTAAAATTCAAGAGAAACCGCGGTTCAGTGGATTAATCGTTGGCATTCGAGGCTAGTAATAGTTAAAAGGTTAAACGACACGCCACCGTATCGGCCGTTTGTCAGCCGCACGTTTCCGCGGAATATATAATTACAACGAGGTCGCATCTCTCATCGGTGACTTCTATTTCGAGTGTTAGGGTCGTCGATTGTGCGTTGCTAATCGCGGTCGTTTATTAGGCGCCGTTACGCCGTTTGCTTTAATTACGCAATCGACGTGCGTGCAAAACGGAGCGAAGGTCGCCGACAGACGGCGAAACGAAAGCACTTTTCGTGTCTGCATTCAACGAATTTTACGCTATTGCGTGTAAAAATTAATTCGACGTGTTCTTTTTTTTACAGATTTATCGTTTGTTCATAAATTTTGCTTTTGAATCAATTACATCTTGTTCGAACGATCAAATCGTTCAAATTCGTCAAACTTATTTCTGTTAACACGCTAAAACTTGCATCACGCAACGCTTCGTTTATATTTTCTTCAACTAACAACTCTAACAGTTTACATTATCCTTTTCCATTTTTTTAAATGGGAAGTTGTTTAAATTTTAAATAATTTTCTGATCGATTCGATATAAAGCGGATGAATTAATCTTCAGATTTAATAGTTCCAACGTTATAAGTCTAAATGATTCGAGAAAGGCGTTGAACAAGACGTTCATCCTTTACAGGGGCGACCGTTTGAATGGTCAAGAGCAGATCGTCGCAGATTTCGAAGCAGATTTTTACGCTTCTATAGGTATGTTGCAGGGTGTTCCACTCGTCGATTATTAGATCGATTTTCAAGAAGATTCGGGTAATCTGACCCTTTTCGGGCTAGTGTGTCAAGGGCGACTTGTGTGCTCGATGGTGACGCAAGAGGTTCCGTGGAAATTACCTGTTGCGAGGTTAGTGAAGACCGAGCTGGTGAAAAACGACGCTTTCAAATTTCGGGGAATGTTGTAACCACAACGCCCCGATAAAATTCATCTTTTTTTTTCACAGAGACGATAGTAGCAGGGAATACCAATCGACAGGTCCCATAACAAAAGTGGACTAAATACATCGTTTTAAAAAATGCAAGGAAACTACAGGAAACCATACGCAAGATTCGCTTTCATTTAAAAAGCTGTATTATAAGTTTTCAAGCGTTTAACGCTGCGTCGTAACACGATACGTCGTTTATTGGAAAGAAATTTTAATTAATACTAAAAATATAAAATAATAATAATAATATGATAAGATATAATAATAAGAATATTAAAAATGTAGATATAAACGGTTCTCGTGGAATTAAGAGTCAGTGAGACAGGAGGGTCAAAGGTCTATAGCCGCATCTATAGCAACTTGAAACAACGTTCGAGGGAACGTTCGGGTTGCGAGAGGTGTGAACGTGGCTTTAAGCGTGGCAAAGGGGGTGGGAGACGAGGACGCGCGAGAGTGGCTGCAAGGCCAAGTCCGGTGACGGTATGTTATACCGGGGCAGTGTCGGGCACCTTGACCAGGCGCAAACACACCCGGTGCAACGCTCGAAACCGTGTTGCATACGGCTGTACCGAAATGCAGAAAAATTCCAACGATTGTAGTTTTACGAATATATTATGTACTTTGTAGGACACATTTTGAAATTTCATTAACGTCGTATCAAAATCGTACTTAACGTCGTTACATTAGGTTCTCTCGAAAGTTTCATTCGTTTTACAAGGAAATAATAGATGCACGACGTTATTTGTTTGATATTGTTTTATTGAATTATTGCAATGGAAGAAAATGGATCATACGCAATTCAATAGAATAATATGCTTTGCACTGGTACAGTTAACAGTGCTCCATGTTCCACGCTGTTTGAGATTTCTAAGCAAAAGCCCACGAGATTCGTCTATCGCGATTACATTGGAAAAGTTTGCGATTTCTATGTATGTATATCTTGAGATTAGGTTCGACGTTGAGGAAACGCAACTACCCTTTTAAACCAGACAGTGGATGTTACGCATTGGTGGAAAATTTGAATGTAGAAATTTAAAAATACACAAGATATTCTAGACACCCTGTTTGTTATAATATTCGTATTAGATGTTCACACGCCTCGAGCAAAAACATAAGAAGAAAAAAGCGAATAAAAAGGAATAACCGAGTACTTTGGCAACGAATCGCATGCATTTTTCATCGGCAACGAGCGAAAGGAAAAGAATAAATTACGGCAAAGTGACATGGGAAGAGGAAGCCGGCGAAACGGGAAGAAACGGGAGGTAAAACGTAAGACGTCGGAAACAGGGCGAAAGAGAGGGAAAGCAGACCGACCTACGCCAACAATGAGTCAAGTGCGTCGGCTTTTGAATATTTAAGACATATATTCCCCTTTAAAGGCGCGTCGACCGACCGAATCGAGCATGGCCTTTCGAACAACCTGATTTTCAAGGGCGGTACAAACAAAACGCGAAATTGAGAATGGTCGTGTTCCTCGCGTGGCCGTCGAGCATCGATCATATTCTCTACCCTGACGACTAAACGTGTCCAGGCTTCTCTCGTTCCGCACTATCATCCATCGAAATGTAATCGCGTGGCTCCCTGCGAGCTGGTAACGCGTTCGAGTGGACTGAAAGGGGATGAAAGCGTCGCGGTTCGTAATTCCACGTGATGGATGAAAATTTGAAGGAAGATGGAACATCGATACGATGGAACTTGCGATCGATTCGAAACGAAATAGTTATTTCTTGGTAACTTTGATGGTTTCGTGATTTATGATTTTGCCACGTTGGGAAGAGCAGGCTCAAGGTATTAGGGTGACATCTGTGACGTACGGGGGGTCTTTTGACGAATTTTTCGTCAACGAAACCCCAGACAAGGGAAGAATGGACGAACCGAGGGAGGTAATAGCACGGATATAACGGAGATAAGAGGAACGAGAGCCTGACGAGCCGTGACAAAAGGGAACCGTTATTAAAAAAGAGGCATAATAGACGACATCGTGTCCATCCCCCTATCGATAACGAATGGCTGAGAAAAATTCTCGCTGAAAACACGAATTATTTCTGCGATAAAAAGTAAATAAAAGGGAATAAATAAAAGAAAAATGACAACCTGTTAAATTGAATAAAAATACTAGGAAAGATGATACGGCGAATAATTAAAAACTTGTAACGAACATCAAAGAATTTGTGATACATGGAAGAACAATGGAAGAACAGAGAAACGATTAATCTTCGATATAATCTAGAGTTGAATCCTGTTATATGTCCACGGAACAATAATTATTAACGTTTCAACGTGATGAGATATTGCGAAACTATCCTCGGTCCATAGAGGAAGATGAATATTTATGTTCCAAGAAGCGTC